GAATGAAGTAGCCTGTGGGCCAGAATAAAGGGGATGCGAGCCATAGCAGGAGAGTAGTTAAACAAATAAGTGTGTCTTCTCTTAACTTGGTAGCACCCTTTTTAAATAAAAGCCTATCAACAGAAAACTCTCTTCACTGCCCTGGGGACTAACACTCTTCTGTGTATGTGAGGTTCTTTCAAGATTTCTGCCAAGCTTTTTTCTTGATTGAAATTACTTTCCCAGGTACCTTAGCCATGAGCATTTGCCAGACCTTTTGCAGGGGAGAATTAATGTTGTTTACCTGCACGTGTGTGTGTGTCTCTCCTTTAGGACTCCCACCCTCGTTACATGGGGTGGTGTAGCTGGTACTGGTTTAATATGGTTCACAGACTGGAAGCTGGTCCTTCAGTATGTTCCCTACATCGGTGGCAAGTTTAAAACTGAAGACTAAGCTTCCCTCTAATGGTAAGTTTTGTTTGTGCATCTATTAGCTTAAGTAGTAGTGTTGCCTTGCTGTGTCCTGTTTGTCCAGGGCGCAATCATACTGTTGGGTCAAAACTGCACAATTTGATTGTTCAGGGCATTTTTTTCTTCTTTTTCTTTTTTTTTAATATGTGGCTTCACAGAGTGCCAGAAGGATGAAACATTAATAATAATAATATGTTTCCAAGTGTTTATTTTGCAAGCAGTAGATTTTTCACGATACAGTGTGGTTCTTGAGAAGTCAAATCGAGTGTTCTATGGCAATTTGGAACTTTTGACAGATCTGTTTACTTCTAATCCTAGGTAGAACGGCTTCATGCTCGTGACTAGTTTTGTGGCTAAAAAAAAAAAAAATCCTTTCCATTCCTTGTAACAGTTATTAAAAGTAAGTTGAATGTTCAGAGCTGGTTACTGTGTACCACAAATTCATTGGAAAATTGGTTTTCTCAAGGATTTTGGGTTTTTTTTCCCCCTTCTTTAATTGCATTCAAAACGTGCTGTTCTGAATCTTCTGATTGACCATCCGTAAAGCTAGAGAATTAATTAGACAATACCTTCTGTTAGATCTCTAAATGCATATTTGTGTAGTAGGCAGGCTTAGAAGTTTTTTATTCCTTGCTGTAGATAGAATGGAGTTAGGAAGACTTTTGCCTTGCGTTAAAGGCAAAAGGTCCAGAGGAAACTATAAACACCTCAAAGCTTGTTTCCTCCAGCCAGAATAACGGTTACCTTTAAATGTTGCTAAATGAAAGTAAGATTGCCTCCAAGCTACACAGCATTTCAGAGGGAAATTGGTGAGCCTGGAAGTCTCAGAGCAAATTGTTAGTCCATTTCTAACCAGAGATACTTGTTGCAGTTTAAACAATTTACTGTGTCTTCCCCGTTTTTAAAATATGTGTCACGTAGATCCTGAATGTAACCAAAGGATGAAAGAAACTTTTGGGGGTTTTTTTTTTTTTTTTTTTTTTCCTCCAGAGATACTTGTTGCAGTTTAAACAATTTACTGTGTCTTCCCCGTTTTTAAAATATGTGTCACGTAGATCCTGAATGTAACCAAAGGATGAAAGAAACTTTTGGGGGAAGTCAACTGCACTTGTAGCATCTCAGGTGACCATAGATGTTTAGTGCCGAGTTGGTGGAAAAGCTCTCGAGTCACGCAGAGGCAATTAAATTCCCTAGTAAAGGGCTTTCTTTACTTAAAAATTGTTCTAGCCAGTAGTGGGAACATTCCTGAGACCACAGCGAATGTTCTTTGCTTTGAAGCAAGAGCTTTGATGTGTCATGGTGCATAAATCATCTGGAAAGAAGCATATTCCTCAGGAATAGAGAAGGAGGATGCTCCTGTGGTGGCCTGTGAGTCCTTCCAAAGAGCCTGTCGGCCTGCGTTCTGCTGTGCCTGTATCGGCTTCTGTAACAGAAACTTCTTGCCTGGATACTGGAGGCTTTTGAAATCTGTCTGTAGCGTTGGCTGCTGTAGCACTTTGCAGAAGGCACTGCTTAATGACTGCTTTGTGTTTATTGTAGGAAATTTATTGCTGGATAGAATGTTTTGGAGCCATCCGTCCGCTGAGACCCTGCTTTGAGGTGAACTTGAAATGCCCAATACATTGCAACAGGCTGTGGTGTCCCTCTCTCTCCCGTGAACACTTGTGGCCGCTTGGTTGTGAACAAATTTAACTTCACTGCACAGCCTGTCTCATACTCTTCCTCTGATCACTTGCACAGATCTTGTCCTAATGGGGGTAATTTGTAAATCTGATGTACAAAATAAACCAGGTGAATGGTATTTTGGGGTTTTTGTGTTGCCTCCACAGTCCACGTTCTTAGACTCCTGCTTTAGCTTTGGGTTATGCCTTCAGCTTGTTGAAATGTGTGTCCTGAGGAAGGCCTGCCCCCTGCTTGCCTCCCTTCCTGCATGGGATCCTTGGGTGTCAACCGGTGGCTGCTGGGATGCTTGATGAGCCTTTTTGTTGGTGCCCGGGTAGTTGTTGCTCATCACTCTTAATACCGAGCTACTCTTAGTGATGTGTTGATTTTAAGCCCATCATTCCTAGGTCATTAGCAACTGTGGACTCTTGCACGCAGCTAACTTTTCGTAGCCAATATTGCAGAGTTTCATGGTAACACAGATTCCTGGCGTTTAGTTTAAAGCAAGGTTTTGTTTCTTTTTAACATCAAGTTGTGGAACTTCTAAGCTGTCTGACTGGGCACACACCAGCCGTGTGTGCTGTCTGGAAGCAGGCTAGCTTTTCTGGCTTAATCTAGGGGCTCAAGGGCAGCGGTCTGCAAACCCTGGGAGGCTTTCTGTGTTCTGGGGTGAAAACCAGTGGTTTAGAGAGCTGCTCAGTTACTTTCTTAATGCAGGTTTTGAGTAGAAAAAGAATATGTGTCTCTACTTCATAAGGTGTAGTTATATTTAGCCACCTGAACTGGTGATGAGAAAACCCACTACCAGAGCCCTTTAGATGAAAAAGCTTTTAGCTGTTAGAAAAAGGAAGTACAAGGATTAGTCTTGATCTGGTCTCTGCCACTAAGCCACAGCAGACGACTCAGACTTGGGGTAGGGGGTGGGGAAGTTCATCCCTTTCCGCAAAGACCAGAATTTGCAAACAAACTTAATCTCTGTGTGAGAACAGGATCACTGTTTTCTCTCTGTTTAGTGCCACATTTCACCTCAGTATCATTTGAATCTCTTCAGGGAAAAAAAATCTCAGTTGTAGTAGCTGTGCTGCTTGGGCGTCACCTTTGGGGTTCAAGGCTTCCGAGTGCTGTTTCTGTGGAAATCTGTTGTAACACCTGCCTAAACAGTGGCACTGTGCAGGACACTCGAACTACTTCTTTAACAGAATAATTGCTTTGGCTTTGCTTTAGCAGTATCATTGATAATTCGTTGCGGGGGAGGGCAGGGAATATCACTTCCGTGTGCAAAACTCTCTTTGCTGCCCTGCTACTCCTGATAGAGTGGTACAGAAGCTTATGGCGTCATGGGGTAACGGTGCTGTTTCCTTGGTCTCTCCCACTCCCCCGCTCCAGCAGTGCTCCTGAACTCCTGGCTGACTCCCAAAAGGCCAGAGCCACTGTGCCTTGAAATGCTGAGAACGCAGGTTTGACAACAGCAGCCCTATGCTGTGTATGGGGATATCGATCCGTTTTCAGCCAAAGTACGCCTTGAAAGCAGAGGTTCGTCATCAGGATTGTAAGCTCAGACTTGAACAGTTCGAGTCTCTGCTCTTATTTACCCATTTAACACGTCTAGACAGGACGGGCATAACACGCTGCTGCTGACTTCAGAAATGACCTAGTTTTGGCTTGTTCCTGTGGGCGGGCGAGCCTCTGCTCCTGTGGCTGAGGGAGTTTTCCAGAAGGCCTTGAGCTGAGGGGCTGGCTGGCTGGCCCATTCCCCTAAAGACCCTGGTCTTCCCAAGTCCTCAATTGGCCATTCTTGTTAGTGAGAGTTACCTTTAGCAAAGCCCCAGCAATAGTATTGTGCCCGGTAGATGAGATTAGAAGATATGCAAAGGAGGAAAACATACACAGAATACCAAGCGCCTGTGCAGGCAGGCACTGCAAGAAATGTATGGACTTTGGATTTGTTTGCCCTTTGGCGATTGTTTAGCTGCTTGTGTTTTCTGCAGCATTTCAAATGATGGCTTTGTCTCTAATTAACCCTAGGATTAGCGTATAACTGATGTAACTTCTGGTATTTCTCCTTCCACAAGAGCAAGCACTCTTCAGAAATACTCTCTTAGAAATACCTTCTACATTCTTGGGCAAACTCCTGTTAAAATTCATGTAATCGCTGCTCAAGTGTCAGGAGTGATATTTCTAATTTTTAATATCCCAGCATTACCTCTTTTCTAACAGTTAATTATTTTTCAGAATGAGCTAACCAAATGTCACATACGTTATATGAACAAAGTAGTTAAAAGACAACGACCCCACAGAGGAGGAAAAAGCTTCTCCTTCAACACCTGGAGAGTTCCACTAGAGGGCACAGCGGCGGCCAAGCTCCCGGGGCTTTGGCTTTACAGAAATAAAAAGCTCCTTTAGCTCCGGGTTAATGATGTAACTTCAAACCCGGCTCTAGGAAAAGGCAGGCGTGTGTTCCTGCCTGCCTCCTCCAAGAGTTTGTCCGTGCTGGTACCTCCACTTCACTTTCGTCATGAAAGGTGTAAGTGGAGGCGGGGGGGGGCGTGTGGGTTCTTCTCCAGCGGCCGTCTCCTGGGCCAACCTCGGGTTCTGCCCCTCTGCAGGGGTCAGTGGGTTCGGTGCTCTCTGGTGAATCCTGCTCTGAACTAAGTTCCTCGGTTGGGTTTGGGATGTTTGGCTGCAGAGTGGAAAGCTCCCAGCTGGATTTACCTGCAGGGCTAAGTGGAAGGGTTTTTACTGGCAAGATGTCCTGCTGCTTGCTTCCGTGGCTGACATCAGCTGAGTTTGGTAATTTGGAGATTGTCTGCTAGTCCTGGAAGAACATGGGCTCTCTGGCAGCCGAATACACCTTCAGCTGGTGGTGATATCTGCAAAGACCTTATCCTCTGTTCCTTGACAGCGTTCCCAAAGGAACGCTGGAATATTTTCCCTTGGGCTTCAGAGAGAGTTTCTACCCAAACATGCATGCAGTCCTGGGAGAGAAAACGTCTTCCCTTCCACAGGCTGTTGCTGCCCCTGCTGCCAGTGAAAACCGATTTTCTAACTATTGTTACCGTGAGCTCGAGGTTTGGTGGGTGTTGAAGAGGTCGCCTCCTCCATCGCCACCCCGCAGCAGCATCCGTGCCCCAGCTTTTCCAGTTTATTCTTAAAAAATGCCATTGGGGGAGGTTTCAGAGTCCTCTACGTGGGCTGTTTCTGGGCTTAACTTCTCAGTTCACACATTTGGGAAAAAGAAATGCTCTCCCCTCCTGCAATACAAGCCCAGTAATTCTTTCCCTTTTACGTATTTGAAGGCTGTTACGAGACCTCGGCTGTTTTCTCGAGATTAAACAACGCTGGTTCTTTCCTCTTCCCTCACCGGTCATTCTGCAGGCAGCTGATGCTCTTCATTTCTCTCCCCATGGCTTGCTTCCAGTCGCTTGTTCTCAAAACGCAGTGTCCAAACGTGGACCGCGCATCTTGCACGATCGCGTTCCTTTGTGAAAGCTTCACTCCTTCTCGTGGCTTCGATTTTAAGCGGTGGGAGAGGAAACGGTGAAGTGGTTGGTGTGAAAGGGAGGGCACCGGCTTTCCATCCCTGGTGCTGAGGACCACGGGTGGTTTGGGGCAGATACGGGCAGGACTCTGCGCTTGCTTTTGCTCCCGGGCACGGTCGCCAGCGGGATCGGGTGGGTTTTGCTTTCAGGGCTCTGCTTTCAGAGTCTCACCCAAACTGGGGTCTGCTCCCAGTTTCCCCGTGTGCTGTGCTAACGAGAGCAAACCGCATCGCTGTGCCTCAGTTTCCCTGTGCACGCTGACTTCATTTTTAATCCAGGAGCTGCACTTCAGTACAAGCTTTCAGTTGGAATAGAATCATAGAATCGCTTTGGTTGGAAAAGCCCTTTGAGATCATCGAGTCCAACCTTTAACCTAACCCTGCCATCCCACCACTAAACCCTGTCCCTAAGCACCTCATCTCTCCTTCACCTCCAGGGATGAGGACTCTACCACCTCCCTGGGCAGCCCATTCCAGAGCCTGACAACCCTTTCAGTGAAGAAGTTTTTCCTAATGTCCAGCCTAAACCTGCCCTGGCGCAGCTTCAAACCATTCCCCCTCGTCCCATCATCTGTTACCAGGGAGCAGAGGCCGACCCCCCCCTCCCTACAGCCTCCATCAGGCAGTTGTAGAGGGCGATCAGGGCTCCCCTCAGCCTCCTCTGCTCCAGACTAAATAACCCCAGTTCCCTCAGCCACTCCTCGTATGACTTGTGCTCCAGACCCCCCAGGATGAGTCTGGCTGGGTTGTGAGTTTTGGGGGTTTTACAGAAAAAAAGAGGAAAGTGCATTTACAAAAAATAATGTGGTTTTGATCAATACCGGCTATTGGAAATTTTCTGATCTGTTTGTTCAAGCTTGCAGGAAATAACAGCGATACCAGAGCAAGATCTTCCGTAAGCGGGAGCCCAGAAGGAGACAATGTTAAAGCAACAAACCCCAAACGAATCCCTAGGGAGATGGAACAGCTCCAGGGCAACAGGAGGCTCCCTCCTGCTTAAATTCAAGACAAAATCCCCACCCTCACATATCTTAAATATGAAAATATTCCCGTACAAAGCAAATGCAACCCAGCACCTACAGGCACACCCGGCTCTTGGTTTTCACTTTCTGCCCCCAAATCTGGACAACTCCCACCCCCTGCGCGGGGGACTCTGGTTTCCTCTCGCCCGCGATGTGCGTCTCGCGTCCTTCCTCGCGTTCCCTGCTGCTTTCCAAATAAGGGGAGTTTAAAAACAAATGAGCGGGGCCTGGTTTGGTTTTTTTTTAAAAAAAAAAAAAAAAAAGAAAATAAGTAAAACTACTGACAGCTTCTTGCAGAGACGTGGGCTGGAGGAAGCACTGAAATTCCGATGGACGGAATGAGCTCGGGGTCGGAAGCCCGGAGCAGTGGCTGGAGCCGCGCTCGTGTACGTGGCCAGGGGGAGCGGCCGATCCGGCCGGGTCTGGGTGCGCTCCCATGGGTGCTGCCCTTCCCAAGTCTGGTGGTGATCACTTCAGGACTGCTGGTCCATACCAGGATCCTTGAAAACCTAGTCTGTCCTTCGTTCGTTGAAGGAAAATTAATCACTCTGACTTGCTTTGGAAGCCGGGCTGCCTTGTGGCGCGGGGTGTTTCCCAGCAGGTGGGTGCTGTGAGGGTGAGGAACACCCAGCTGCCGGAGTGCGGGCGCTCGGCTGTACGGTGCCAAACCTGGGGTCCGAGGGCTGGAGCCCCTCTGCTGTGGGGCCAGGCTGGGAGAGTTGGGGGTGTTCAGCCTGGAGAAGAGGAGGCTGCGGGCAGAGCTGAGTGCGGCCGGTCAGGGCTTAAAGGGGGCCCAGAGGAAAGGGGGGGACAAGCTTTTTAGGAGGGCCAGCTGGGACAGGACAAGGGGGGATGGCTTTAAACTAAACCAGGGTAGGTTTAGACTGGATCTAAGGAAGAAATTCTTTCCAGTGAGGGTGGTGAAACCCTGGCAGGGGTTGCCCAGAGAGGAGGTGGAGGCCCCATCCCTGGGACCATTCCAGGCCAGGTTGGCCGGGGCTGTGAGCAACCTGATGTGGTTCAAGGTGTCCCTGCTCCTGCAGGGGGGTTGGGCTGGGTGACCTCTGGGGGTCCCTTCCCACCCAAAACATTCTGTGATTCCCAGGTGAACCGGTGGCGGGAGGCAGACACCTCTCTGCCGGGGGTAAAGGGTGGCAGTTTATGCTTTTTCCTGTAAAACTTTCCCTTGCTTTGTCTTCACACCACCCCCTCCGCAGCAGATTTTCCTCCTCCTCCTGTTTTTTTGGTTTTTTTTTTTCCCTTTGCACGGAGCTCTTTGTGGACGTTCTTGCAGGGGACGGGGCACGGGGGCTGCGCAGAGCGGTGCCACCAAACATGCAAAACGACCCCAAAAAACCCATCCCGGGCCGCGCTGCAGCACGGAGCGGCTCCCCCCCGC